ACACACACACACACAGACACACACACACACACAGACACACACACACACACAGACACACACACACACACACACACACACACACACAGTACTATGCCAAAGTCTTGGGCGTTCAAAGATAATGTTTGAGGCTATTATTAGTAAGTATATTTGCTCAGAAAAAAAAAAACACAATTTAACATTAGAACATTTGCAAATTAAAAGTAACACAATAAAAATTAAGAATTTCTTCTGTTCTCCAAAGAGTCACTGAGATCCTGCTGGATGGCTAGATGAACACTGCTTTGGTTCCCAAACCTCTCCTCAGGGGCACCTCAGCCATTCCGTGTATTTTTTTTAAAGACACCAATCACCACCAACTCCAGTGTTTCCCCTACCATTATATTAAGGGGGCGTCCCGCCCCCCCCTTGAAGGTCCAGTTCATTTTTATTTAAATTTTATTTTCTCTATAGCACGAGATCACAACAGAAAGTCATTAAAGGTTACCTTTCCTATAGAACAGGTCTATACATTGTCTTTCGATTAAACAAACTAAAAAGCCTTTTGTTATCTTATTTACACAACAGCTTGTCATTTTTGTCTCTACATGGTCGGGGCGTTTACATTTCTCCTCTGCTCTTTGTATTGCGCATGGTGGAGTTCCGCCCCGATGTGCGCGCACAGACACGTACACACACACACAGGTGAGCACACTCCCACCAGTAGACAGAGAGTAAGCATCAGAAGAAAAAAGAGATGTCCTGATGTTTAGTTCAGCTGTTATATTGACTGCTGTCATTAAAGGAAACACATGAACACCATGAATCCTGTTAGTGACCATCTGCCCCCCCCAAAGCTGTAAACCTGGGGGAAACACTGATCTCAATCAATCAAACAATCACTTAGTTAAATTTGTTAAATAATTCAATGAGGTATTGATTAGTCAGACAAGGTGGGGTAGTGGTTTAGTCAAAAAATACACAGGTGTATTGGACAGTAGTGGCTGACCTTAGAAGACATTTTTAAATGGCTAAGCTGACACACTTCGATAAACATAGCCTTACACCAAAATGAACCGCTCTATAAATACATTTGACATGATATATACACTTGTTTTTAACAGCAATCAATGAGTGCCCCATCAGTGAAATTTGCCAGTAATTCCTTGCTGACAAAAACAACTTCCTTTTGGGCAGACAACCCTACTGAGGGTCAATGATAATTAGGTCACCTGAGCATTAGACCCAGATTTCCAAATAAATTCAGTATTTGTTCTTAAAATAACTAAAAGGTGAAACAGTGTTGGGGGAAAAGCAGAGTTTATCATCTTGTCTCACCAGAAATGAGAACGAACACCATACAATTCTCCCATTTAAGAGTAATTCTGTGAAATGCCTAAATGCGATTTTTCTCAACAACAGATAAAATTTCACCCCTTCTTCAACAACCTTTGACCTGCAAATGCTAAAAGCTAGAAGCAAGTGCCCTTCATTTCCAAGAACCCGGCACTGATTCTCTTACCTCTGCATCATGCTCAGCGTACTGTGCACATTTTTACATCGATGCCTGCCACCACGTGGGACATAATACGGCATTCACATACAGGAAGCGAGCCGTGTGACATTCAGCCGTCCGGCCCAAGGGTCAAGGTGCCAGTGACCTTTGTGCTATTAATCAGCTGACTGCCTGGCTGGTGAGCTGATCACACAGAGATACGGCACACAGGAGCCGCCAGCTAAACAAACTGGGCACAGACACTCATTCATGAGGCAGAGTCTCTCTCTCTCACAAACACACAACCTCACGCACCACCGTACCTCAAACTTGGCTTTTTCATTTAATCTGATACTGGAATATTGTACCAGACTACAATAGTCCCAAAAATCAGTCCCGGCCAATAAATTTAGATTCAATCATTTTCCATTATGTTTTTTTTACTTATGATTATTATATGGCTAGTTCAACGGTAATGGTAACAAAATTACAATTCAATCTGGCTGCAATATGAAAAGAACTGACACCAAATGCTGACATTTTGGTAAACGAATTACCTCTGCTGTAGAATTGCCTATGCATAAGATTAATACACAAATAAATAATTTAAATTATTACAGAATTAAATAATTTTAAATTAGACAGCTACTGTTTTTCCCTCCAACAAGACTTTGGTTAATTATGATTAGAACAATCTTGCTTTGACTTGATTGACATAAAACCAGAGAGAATAAAACCCAATGTATACAAAGTTGGGGCTAAAAAATTCATAGCCATGCATAACATATCATATCATATCATGGATGCGTGTGATATAAAGGACTGGGAACATTAAGCATGGTATGATAGCACACTTTAACCTTTCTGCCCTGTCAATCACCAGCCAAGGCTGGCCCCAAGGGTAAGGCCCAGCTCCTGATTGGCCGGGAGGCGGGTCTTACCTCCAGCCCCACGTTGTGGTGCAGAACGCTGACCAGGAGGATGTGCTCCATGAGCAGCCGTTCAGGCATCAGAGCCGGGCTGACGCAGGCCTCCAACATGATGGCCGTCAGCGTGTCGTTCATGTCCTTCCTGCTGTGGCTCATGTACATGGCCTCCATCTGGCCGCTGATGGATGCCATGTTGGGCTCACTTAGCCTACGGAAAGAGAGAAAGGTCCAAAAGGGCCAAAGGCGTTGTACTTTATTTTTTGGAAAGAGTAAATAAACTGAATTTCCTCAGAATAACTTTTAGCCACTTTAAATCGGTAAAACTGAACACCCATTTTTGAACTGTGGGAGGAAACTGGAGCCCTTGGCAGGAACGTGTGAACTCCACACAGAAAGGTCCTACACCTGACCTGAGGACCAAACCCAGGACCTTCTTGCTGTGAGGCAGCAGTGCTAACCACTGCAGCACCGCGTCACCCTTAACTCTAACAATCATGCCATGTCAATAGATTAGAAATTGATTCCTGTAAACGTTACTTGCACAAAACAATTATAATTTTGCTGTGAAGTTTTTGCGCTACCATAAGTGATTTTGTGGTTTGTTTTCTTAACGTCTTGCTCAGCCAGGCGACCGTCTTGACGACATTATTCCAAAGAAACTAACCTCCGTCTCCCTTTAAGCTTGTGATTGGTGATACGAGCGCTTTGTCACCTGGTGCTATTTTCATGTACGGCCACGTAGTGAAGGCTGGACATTTCATGTAGTCCCTGGACTTGTGTTACGTGCTTTTCTCATTTTAAGGCTTACATGCCAGTGTTGCACTTGATACTTTGAGACTGGTCAGTGTTCTTTGTTTAATCTTTAAGTTCACCTTATTTATTTATTAATTCATATACGCCTTTGAAGGTTACATGGCACGGTTCTATATTCGTAAGGTTAATAATTGTTTCTTTTTATTACTTGAAGGGTTTTGTTTTTTTTTTACCATGGTATTGAAGTGGGTATCAAGAATTGTGGGATTCCACTGGCAATGCTGCTGACTACTAAATTTCTGCTATGGTGACACCCCAAGGCCCGATGCTGCCTTCTCGTGTTCTGAAGGCCCTGCAGGCTGTCATTGAGGATCTCACAAGCTAAACATTCACGAACATTATTAATAATATCTGCCCATACATCCATCTTCCATAAACCCTTTTTCGGTACAGGGTCACAGTTAGCGTGGAGCCTATACCACATAGGTAAGGGAGACTGGCATGCCAGCCCATTGCACAGCATTATAATTACTATTATTAACTTTGATGGGCTAGTGCCCCACTCTGCATTATTCCCTGCCTTGCGCCTGTATTGTACTAGATAGGCTCCGGACCCCTGCATAGGACAAGCAGATACAGAAAATGGATGGATAGATATTATAAAGCAATACCGGTTCACGAGTCCTTTCACGGTCTTGCGCAGTCGCTCCAGCTCCGCTCTCCGCTTGCTGTCTTCCACTTCACGCCGTTGTGGTGGCACATACTTCCCAGGTGCGTTAACGGGCTGAAAAACAGTTTCAATGCAATGATGCTGGCTCTAATGTAGAGAAACATTATTTTAAAAGAAAGGTAAGATAGCATTTGACGTACAAGCTCCTCCTGAGCATCTGCTTCCACTGTGTCTTCCTCATTGGGGAATTCTTCCATATCGCCATCTTCAGAAACTTCATCACAGAAATCTTCTTCCATTTCCTCTTCAATAACATCCATTTCTTCCATATGTTTTTCACTCTCCTGGTCATCATCTCCATCATCATCATCTTCACCATCATCATCATCATCTTCACCATCATCACTGTCAGTCGCATCCTCCTCCTTGGTTGTAAGTTCATTCTCACTATCAGCTAACTTGTCAAACTTCTCCTTACTTATCTCCATTTCCTCGTCACTCTCGTACAACCCAGATCCCGCCGATCCAGCGTCGAGGGCTTCCAAGATGTAATCCAAGCCATCGGCGACGAAGGACATAGGAAGGCTCTTTTTGTTTTTCCTCTTGTTGAGACCAAGACAACGCTCCAGCTTCTTTATCTCCCTATCCTCCGCCTCGTTTGCTTCCAGCAGTGCTTTCTTCCTAGTCTCCTGTAGGCGATTCTTCTTCTTTCCTTGCTGAGACTGCATCTTTTTCGCTTTGGTTTTCCTTGACGCTCCTGGTTCAGTAAACCCGACTTCATTCTCCGTCTGAAAGCGCACGCTTTTTTGTACTTTGGTTTCGGTCTTGTTTTCAACAGGAGTTACATTTTTCTGTTGGTTCTTATTAATGTTTCCATCGTCTTTGGGGGGCCGTTTCATTTTTGCTTTTTTGAGCTTTCTCTTTTCCCTACGCACTTCTTTTCGGCTTTTCTTTTTAACGTGACCGAGGCTCCGAAACTCATCGGCACCGCTGCCACCAGTCTTGTTTTGAACAAATTCATCAATTGACATCATAAGTTTCTTCAACTTTTCTGTGTCTCCCTTTCCTTTCGATTTTCTTTGCACTTTCCCCTTCATCTTGAAGTGAATTTGAATAGACAGAATAATTTGCTGAAATGTTAAACGAGACTAAATTTAAACTTCAAAATAAAACGACCACACGTGTTATATGTTCGTATCGGCTACATACAGCCTATTGCTGTCGCAAACCGGTTATATACATAAATAATGTCGCCTACCATCGACAATAGATATACTCAGCTTCATTTCACATACACATATATAGTGACCAATATTCGATTATATATATATATACACACACACAAACAAGTACATACAATAGATTACTTGACTATACATGTGCAGTTCACTCACACACGTTGAAGGACTGAGTTCACTTCGTCATCGATTGAACCGGATGTGATAATTGTCTATTTCCGGTTGCCTCGGTGTGGTTCTTCAGAGTCGTACCGTGAAGCTATACTGCTGTTCTTCAGCAGGTGTGGTAGGCAAGACGGTGGTTTTCTAGCAGTTGATAAAGCGTGCATTTTTATTCACGAACAATGCATATACGAGTGTCATTCCCATTATAATAACTCGATATATTCCCTTAAATAGCAACGTGCCCAGTTAATTGACTAGAAATCTCATTGCTCACTTTAAAATATGGAGCAATAAACACCTTTTATTAGTAAATTCAAATTAGTTTCAGATAATGAAATAACTATAAATATTGGAATTAAAAACACGATGCTAAATCCAAAATTTCATCTTGGTATGAATTTCTGTATAGTACGAAGAACTGGTGATAGTCTTGTTGCCCATGCCTACAAATTCTGTTCGAATATTTAACAGCACCGCTGAACGCCATCTACTTAAGGGTATCACCTGTTCCTGAGCACCACTGTGGCGCGGAGTTATGACATCACCCCCTCCCCCATCCTGAGTCGAGGTTTGATGATGTCGTATATTTTGAGGCGGTTCACGGCGTCGACCGAGCTTCGAGTCTCCGATAGGAGAAAATAGGAAACGGGCGTAACTGCTGCGGAGACCGTTTTTCGGGTGCGACTGGAGGAGCGTTTTCATTTCAGGACACTCGCTGTGCGTCGTGTACAAGTGGTTATATGTGTCTGTGCAATATGAAGAATGGAAGCAGACGATGTGACTATCAGAGAGCAGAATTTCCACAGCCAAGTCCGAGAGTATATCGTAAGTAAGACGCTAACCGTTAGTTAGCTAGCTAGCAATAGGGGCGCGCACTTCGCATATGGCATTTAAAAACTTAGATAAACGAGCTTTGAAATGTATCCATTAGGAAAGAAACGGTGCATTTAATATGTCCTGATATTTAGCTACTGAAATGTAGAGTTTCCCTTCCAAAAGGCATTCCTACTTTATTGTATTCAATTTTATGAACTAAGTACCGTTAGAATATGGACGCAATGCATGATTTGTGAACACAGTTGCAAGCTTAAGAACTCCAAAAGGACATGCAGGGCACACTTGTCCACACTCTATAATAAATAATTAATGTTGACCTTCCCTACCATTTGAAAATGGGTTTATTGAAAACAATCCATGATACAAGCTGATTAAAACGCGAGATTCCCCACCTACATGTTTTGGGTCCTCGGTGTTGAATGTAGATGAGATGACGGATGTATAGTCTGCAAAACAAAGGCATCGTAGGCCTTCCCACCACCCTAAGTACACTCCCCCTCCCAGGATGCCTTTAGGCCAGATTACACCCCGGTCTGCGTGTTTGTTAAACCCATTGTCTTAATGCTTCATTTTCCAATATAACAAAAAGCAATGGCTCACCATATTCATGCAGATTATAACCTATGAAGAAGGGGATTAAATTCCCTCCATGTTGCTGTGCAAATGCCATTTTCTGTCCTCTGTCAGTGAAATCAGAGCTGACTGTTGGTAAATTGAATTTTGATATCTGCCCCACCTGCTGTTTACCACGTGTCCCCCTGTAGTATTGGTTCACTAATTTAATCCATATGCTTCCTTATTCCCCCCCCCCCAAACTTTGTGGCTGTAATTGGTTGGCTCAGGCTAATATAGGATGCCAGGCAGTACCTTAAGGTTAGACTTGTATATTGTTCTATTTGCATTATTGAGTTTCTGTACAGGCTGACGTGTATTTTCACCTGTTAATTCACCTGCATGTTGTGAAGGCTAAATCCAGGTAAATACTTTCTCTCTCCTGGAAGTGTGAATTTCCCAGTTTGTGGACCTGTGTCCTTAACCACCAAGCTTGTGGGCCTGCACTTATGTGTTCTTACTTCTCAATTGCAAGTAATGGGCCTTTAGGAGAAACTTTAAGCCTGCTGACCTTCTAGAAAATTTGCAGGAGTGTGTTATGGGATTTGCCGACTGGTTGCCAACAAGATCCTTGTGAAGTCCCTCACCAAGGAAGGCTGACAGAGGTTGGTCTGGATAGCTCTGATAAAACCTAGAAGAGGAAAAATCTCTGCCTGTTTTTCCCTCTCAGATTCTGACCCACACCCAAAACCAGCATAGATCTGAGGCTGTCTGCATGCCATGTCAGATTACTTGACGCTGTGTTTTTGATGAATGTCCTGTTCATTTTGTGGCAATGTTGTTTTACTCTGTTCTCATAGTTTCACTTCTCGCTATTGCTCAGATAAGTATTTGACTCGGTGGCAGAATGAGGAAGACTGGAGCAGGAGAATTGCACCTGCCATGCCGTGAAATCTTGATAATGGCTGTCTGATCTTATCCTCCACCAGAAAGTCACTCACCAGTTGCATTTTTGGTTCACTTCTCTAAATATAGCCCAGTCGTATACTTAAGACTGTTTACATTATGGCATGTGTGTGCTGCGAGTGCCACAGTCTCACGTTTCAGCCTCCAAACCGTGCCGGACGTCTGCGGTGAAAGTGAATGCGAGCTTTTCATGTGTCACACAGCTCACATGACAGTGTTGAGATATCCATTGCTTGGTCTCTCTTAGTCAGAGGCTTAACTTATACGACACAGTTGTAAATACTAAACTGAGATGTTGGTGTAGATATAACTTGAACCAACATTCTGCAGACCCTACGCATGTTGTAAATCCAGAACATCAGGTGAACGCTTCATATGGGCCCCAAGGCTTGAGCGGGTCTTGCCTGACGTGGAGAAAGAGGCCCTGACTGCAATCTCGTCGCTCGTATTTAGTGTTTAATCACGCTACAGTGAGTATCTGGTCCTCAAAAGGTGAGATTTCAGCAGGGAATGATAAAGAGGTGCTGGAACATGGAGCTTCTCCTGTTTCAGATGGTTTGCTGCACGTTGGGGTCTGTGAAGACCTGCCTCGTAAAAGCTGATCTGTCACTCGTTGTCCCGGCCATTGAGCAAGCGGCACGCTGTCCTTGCAGAGAGGAAGCCTGTGCACTCTGCTGCTCGTGCAAACCTCCCACACAAAAACTTTCCCAGGAAAAGTGTAAAAAAAAAAAAAAAAAAAAAAAGACAGAAAACAAAGTTTTGGATAAGTAGAATAGCATTGGTATGAAAAAAGTAAGGACACCATAGAAAATGTAATGCAATATGCAGTAGGGTGGGGTGAAAAAAATCAAAATTTCCAATAGTGCGGAAAAGTTGTCACTGGACCTCGTTATTAAACGTGCAAAATATCTTTGAAATTTTGTTCATATTTTCAGGTTCCGCAACGTGATCGAAGTTTTCACCTGCACTATTGGAAATTGCTATTGGAAATTTTGATTTTTTTCACCCCACCATAATATGCAGCCAGTTTTTATTCACCTGCATCCATAATACTCTGTTTTATTAATGAATGCATGGTGTTTCACCGGGGCGGCATGGTGGTGCAGTGGTTAGCGCTGTTGCCTCGCACCTCTGGGACCTGGGTTCGAGTCTCCGCCTGGGTCACATGTGCGTGGAGTTTGCATGTTCTCCCCGTGTCATCGTGGGGTTTCCTCCGGGTACTCCGGTTTCCCCCCACAGTCCAAAGACATGCTGAGGCTAATTGGCGTTGCTACATTGCCCTTAGGTGTGCATGTGTGGGTGGCTGGTGTGTGAGTGTGCCCTGCGATGGGCTGGCCCCCCATCCAGGGTTGTTCCCTGCCTCGTGCCCGTTGCTTCTGGGATAGGCTCCGGACCCCCCGCGACCCAGTAGGATAAGCGGGTTGGACAATGGATGGATGGATGGATGGTGTTTCACCAGTTCTAGACTGCAACCATTTAATTTGGAGACAGTGCGACTAAATGTTGTAAGTAGGTGCACCAGTGTGACATGCACATATGCCCCCCCCATTTTTTTTAAACCATGGACATACATCATGTGAAACACCTGGAGAGCAAACTTGTGTGTGCGTGCATGAGTGAGTGAGAACCAGGAATTTCTATCATGTTCTGACCTCAGGAACTCTGCAAAACAAAGGCATCGTAGGCCTTCCCACCACCCTAAGTACACTCCCCCTCCCAGGATGCCTTTAGGCCAGATTACACCCCGGTCTGCGTGNCCCCCCCCCCAAACTTTGTGGCTGTAATTGGTTGGCTCAGGCTAATATCATGTGAAACACCTGGAGAGCGAACTTGTGTGTGCGTGCATGAGTGAGTGAGAACCAGGAATTTCTATCATGTTCTGACCTCAGGAACTCTGTCCGGTTGCAGTTCCTTGGAAGCACTGCTGGGTTGGGGCTTATTGATAACTTGCTAACCGTGACAGGCACCGCTGTTAACTTGGAAGATACACGGAAGTGCAGGGTAGAGAGATATGGAGGACCAAAACTTGACATGATGGAATTTTTAAAATGAATTCCTTTCTGCTTGCGTCTCCATATTTCTGCATCTGAAAAATCGATGTATTTTTGTCTAATATTGCTGGTGCTAGCAGTGAAAATTTTGTAGTGCTTATTAGTGGAATAATAAGTAAAATAATAATAATAATGTAAAATAGTTTTTTTTATTCTGTGGAAAATGATAGACCGATCTGTTGGCCTGATTTTGATAATGTATTTTAAACATTTTGTGGGTCATATTAATAAAATATATATAAAAGCATGTGTTATGATCACGATCAATCCCACCAGTAATTAACACATAACTAACAAAACAATTTGTTCATAATCCATTGTTTTGGGGCGACAGTGTAGTTTCCTATAAAATTACATGTGAACTTTAACCTACAAGCTTTTTGCATATGCCATGCTTGTTTAGCATAAAGGTCCCAGTTCCTCTTGTGCAGTGGGAAAGCGACCTCGGAACCAGCAGCTAGGTTCCTGAATTTTGTTGGGAAAGTGCCTCATGGATCACCCATAAAGCACAACGACGGCTAGAAACATAATCTATGCTGGGACAGATGCACTGACGCAATATCGACTGGCCACATACCTTATTAATTTGGTGTTTATGTTTTAAAAAGCACCATTTAACTTTTTTTTTTTCCTCTTAACCCTCGTGTGACTCCTGTGTGACCTTCAGCCCCTAACCCCTGGCTGTCCAATGGAAGATTATGAGTGCAACCAAAGTCTAGTCCTTATTTGGAAATGCTGGTCCCCCAGTCGTCCATCTCGGAAAGGTCTGAGTCAGGCGCACATTGTATCTCTCTGAACCTCGGTAAACTGTTTGATGCAACACCGGTATGTTTTATGTTCTAATGACGTTCACTCTTGCTGTGAGATGTGTACTTACCCGCCGTCTCTTCCATTCTCTCTGCAGATATGTTTCCTGCTTTTTGCCGTCCTGTACATTGTGTCCTACTGCATCATAACGAGATACAAGAGGAAAGCTGGTAATTCTTCTTTATCTCGTTTTCCTCCCTCGTGCTTCCATCCATCAGCTTGGCACCCCCGGGAGGCCGGGGGCGACGCGGCAGTGCGTGTCTGTAACCCCGAGTGAGCAATCCGTGCCAGTAGATGCCATGTTTCAGTCCAAAACACTGGAGGACTTTCTCCGTCTCTGTCACCATTCTGTGTATTTCCCACTGTAAATGCTGGTTTTAACTGGTGATTTGTTTGTCCGTATTTAAACTGGGTTACCTTAAATCTGTCCGGTTATATGGATGGCTAAGCGGGAAGTCCTGCTTCATGATACAGGCCAACGGTCAGTAGAGGATTCCGGTTGTTCTTATTCACTCTCAGAGGGTGGGTGCGCTGGATGAGAGTGTATCAGAGGGTCTGCTTATAGAAAGAAGCTTTTAAAATGCGAGGTATCATTAAAGATGCATCATGCTCCTTCACAGCTGTCTCTTCCGGTCTCATCCCTTACATAACTGGGTGACATCAGCAGACTGATACGCTTTAAAAAAAGATTCACTTCATTAGGCACTTTGAAGCATGTACACAGATGTTCAAGCATGTGGAAATGGCACCAGGACATTTTAATGAGATTTTATGAATGGAGTCAAAGCTCATTTAGATTAAAGCAGTCGATGTTTTGTTAGTTTTCACAAATTTACTTAAACCGAATGAAGATGTCAGGCTTTATGGAAACAGTATTTTAAAAAGTCTGCATTTTCAATTACAAAGCCTGCTTTGCACTTGTTTCTGAATATGCAATTGATGGAAAACATTTGGCCGTTTTTCTACTATATATCTTTATTTTCAGGAACTCCACAAACTTTTTAGGGTGATATTTGTTATATTATGCACTAATAATTCTTTGCCACCCAGACTGTTAGCAGACTGTTATGTTTACCAAATTGCCTGTTTATTTTGGGAATTAACGTTGTCAGAAATGTTACTTTTTAAATGATCTCTAACAAACAGTGCCTACACTTTAAAGTTCTGCTAGTCCTTAGGTGAATTGCGTTGGTGCTTCGTTAACCATCTGAGATCACATGCTTCCGAAGGCTTTAATTTGATTGTTCGGGGAAGCACTCCCAGAAAGCCAATCAGCAGGCTGAACTGATGGTGTCTATTTTTTTTTTTACTAGTGCCGTTAAACATGAAATGTCATGCCAGAGGGCAGGATAAGGAACAGGCGAATGAGTCATCTTGGATAAACAAGTTATTAAACGATGGCAGAGAAGCTGGTAGTCTTTTAAAGAAGCCTTACCCTGATGTTGTCATACAGGAAGATCGTGAATTGGATCTTAACTGTAGACACAAGCAGCCATTTGCAGATGATGCGTCCTTGGTGACGGTCACTGGGGTGGCAGCTGAGCATGGCAGTGAAATTATTGCGATTTATATCTGGACGGTCAATAATTTGACTGAACGGCTAAGTCTGTCCAACTGCTGATTCTTGTGCTTTTCTTTAGATGACCATGAGGACGAAGATGCCATAGTCAACAGAATATCGTGAGTACAAAATCCTGTGTTTCACCCCCCCCCCAAGTTTAATTACAGTGGGTTTTTAATGCAAATCCCATTGTGTTTTTCTAATTTGGGTCCTTCATTGCAGCTGGTAGATGGATCGTTTATCTTCTGGCCCTCGTTTGTTTCATCTGCCCCAGTGAAAAATATCATTAACATTTTCCCCCACCTTTAAATGTCATATGTTCATATGTCTGTGAAGGGGGGACGGAAGCTTGAGTAAATGGATTCGTGAATGATGAGCGGTGACTGGCTGGATGGGTTATAAGGCCAGATACCAATGTCCATGTGGTAAGTTCCCCCTCGTCACAGATTGGGGGAAGCCTAACATTGTGTATGAAGGCTGGCGACAGCCACCGGTGCCTCCCTGTCTATCCCGTCTGCTCCGAGGGCCCCGTGTGGTCTCCGGGCCCCGTTTTACGGGAGCCGAGGCGGCATGCGGCTGAGAGGAAAGCTGCCGGCCTTGCGGCACACAGACTGGGCACAGATGGTAGCAGCCCCCTCGCAGACTGGCAGCGCCAGCTTGGCTATTAGATAATTCCTGTGGGGATGGAGGCCCCGTTCCAGCATGGCGGAGCTCAGCCAAGGCTAAGAGCAACGCGGCGGTACTTGGGCCTCCCCAGCCCGGCCCACGCTGGCGGCACTCAGAGCTTTATGGACACGAGAGGCCTGTCTTTGTCTGTCTGTGATTGTGTGT